TTTTTTTCTATTCAATCCCCTCTTGTTTGGCCTTCTATTTTTTATTCCGTACCACTTGGGACTATCTTTCTCCTGGTTTTTTTTTTTTTTTTTTTTTGATCCCCTCCTTATTTCCAATATTTTTTAATAACTTCCACCTTTATCAAATCCTACATTTTTCCCCCTATCAATTAGGTTGTGTTTGTTTTCTCTCCAACCTTGTTCTCCAGTGAAAATCTTCTTATTTTCCCTTCTATCCCCCTAGTTTCCATTTCTACCTTGTCTCCTTCTTTCTCTCTACCGTTACTAGATAACACCGACATTGCTGCTAGTCGCTCTCACTTGCGTCCACTTTCCATTATACCTCGCAATCCCCTCCTCATATCTCACAGTCTGACCATCCACCTCAGCAGAGCACAGACGTCGAGCATCAGCCTCACAGCCACGACACTATACTTACTCCAGCCAATCACTCTGTACTCGCGGTGTCGCTGTTACCTATCGCTCAATGTCTCCCTATCTGTGCATCAACCCCCATCACTCTCCATATGCTCAGATCGCCACCTATGCCTCACCGCCCGTAACTTCTTCACTCAGTCTATTCTATCTACGACCTACTAACCTCCTGTCTTCCTCCGATCATCACTCACGTTGACCATACGATGTCCACAGCACGCGCCTCACACAAACAGTATCTACTGCTCCCTACTTGCCTCCCCATCTCCTTGTTATGCTCAAGTTCCGGTAACCACCCGCTACCAACACAACGCGTCAGTGGACACTGATAGATCTCTAGCTTCATCCCAACCAGAGCTGAAGATTTCCGCCAAGAAAACGTCACTCCTACTCAATCACGTCCGCAGCACCAGCGATCTTGATCCCCAGCACCGTCGCGCTCCACGAATACGATACAACATCTGCCTCCGGCGCAATCACATGTCTCGTAGTCACACGAGCACAGGTTAGTTGTTTCTTCGTCCTGCCATTATTTGCTCGGAACAATACGCATCATGATTTTGAGGACAGAGTATTCTAATTCTTATTTCCAAACTCTAATCTATTTATAACAGATTGCGGATTCCATACGTAAGCATAACATCGCAACCTTCCTTTGAGATCCAGTCGCATTCTTCTCGTCGCGGACCAGCAATAACATCATATGCGTTGACTTCTCATCTCGACTATTCTGCTCCTTATCAGATCTCTATGACCATGTGATATCTACACTAGCGGGGCTTATCACACTACCCAGGCCTAGAACGACACACTGAGATATCACTTCAGCGAGTCTTGTAAAACACATACTCGCCACACCCGCAAGACCTAGCTCGACTACAACTGGAACCATAATAGCGCGGCATAACACAGATAGCAACAAGTCGACATCCCACTACACACACTATCAGGACTCTCTCACGACTATAGAACATCCACAATCTACCATCACGCCTTACGCTGTTACCAATCTTAGAAGCATAACGTCTCAACATTGAACTAACACCTACGCCTATCAGCTACACAGCCCAAAATCCAACTCTCAACGCACAACCACACGTATTCGATCATACACGACGCCTCACGCCGTCACATTCTGACAACCTCACCTTCCTTATCGCCTCCATACATCTCCGTCCACATCGTCACACATGACTCATCCTGCTCACACACTCCTCACCATAGAATCTGAGAATACACGATAAGCATATCACATCCACAGTCTTATTCCAGATAATTAGACACCACACATCAAGCCCAGCATGCGCTCCAAAAGCACACGACACTATCTCACATAACCTCCACATCAGACATATACCCTACACTTAATGCCCATATCACTTGCGCTTAGTGCCACGGATATTCACTCGAGAGCACTGTCGAGCGTCCTCGCTCCCAATATGATGACAACTGTCTCTCGATGAAACTGATCTCTCTCCCAGCATATACAATATACTTAAGAGACCTCGACAGAGCGAATAAACGTGCCATACCAATCTGTCAAGACGAGTGCTCCTCGTATGCTAGCGATCAGTCCGTCAGCATACATGCGAGCCACCTGGAACACTCAAGGGATGACGCCTCGCAAGCACACGCATGAACGATGCTGAACGTCACGAGCGAACGATATCAACCTCCCGGTTGAGCTGGAACAGCATTCCGCATCAACCACCTCTAGGCGAGGATTATATACCAGCGTTAAGCCACTCGGCTGCTGCGAGACAGAGACAGGCAGCGTATCACATACCAGCACACAACTAGAGGAATGAACGTCCTCGCTCAGTCTACCGAGAGTCACGTTGTGCTTGTGTGTGGTACTGTGTATATACCAGATCCCGACTACGCATCCTATATAACTCTCAAATCTAATGCACCATCACATACATCTCTGATAACACCGAATACAAATTAGTCCCTATAATCGCTTAGCATGTTGGTACTCACCATCGTACGTATCTTCACACATACATAGCAACATCAACATACACTGTACCGTGCTAGCCATATCACTACGAGCGTACATCAGTCCAGCATCCATCCTGTTCCTTAGGCTGACGGCTCATCTGATTATTCGCAATTACACCTACATCACGTCGTATTCATCTGCATATCCTACGACAGATGCTTCGATATCCGCGAAATCCACTAGAATTCGTGTGCTGCTGGATTCTCGGTACACTAGAATCATCTCTCGTCATCGACTGATGATAGTGTCTGCCTGCTAAGTCTGCAGCTTAGTCTGGGATGCTTTCGCTCGACTTTCTCGTGCTTCCATTTCAACCGCTTCAGTCTACACAAGATCCTGCAGAGCATAAGAAGCAACGTTCTTCTTCCTCCGTCATAGGCCGTGTGAGATAGGACCAGCTGGAACTCCATGGCTATCGTACATCCGTCACTTGAAACGCAGACTTGTAGATACCGACGTATCCCTGGCTAAGTATCTCCACCGCTCAAGCTGAGGACTAGTCCACTAGTCGTGGTACGCACTGGATCTAGCTCTGTGAGATGCTCGACCACCCGCACCCGCCACTGTCTCTCCTACACTAGCTACTCTGACGCTAAGATCTTTCTCATATGAAAGGAAGGTCAATCGCACAATCTTACGGCAGTGCTCGTATGCATCATATCTCTCATACATGGAGCGCGCATTACAAAGCATTACTGCACCCTTCTATACACCTGATAATCTATGTAGCGAAGAACACAATATTTGGGCTCTTCATTAGTAAATGCACGCCGCCTGTGTGTAATCGTAGCACATATACTCATGCGCACTTACATGAGCAACTCGAACATGACTGCGTAAACTTATACAACGCCTCATATACACCCCCCCGTGCTCCCCCCCTCATGCCAAGCACAACTGTTCCACCCCAGGTTCCCTGTATATGCTCCAAAGTTCTCGCTACGTACACTCTACATAATCCTGCCTCTGATCAGATCGCCATCATGAAACATCTACAACAGCTCTACTACTGTCGCATCTGTTGGTCTACGCCAGCGCCGTATGAGTCCGAATATATCCGGACGACCCGCCAGCCTGCCGACCACCGCCATCAATTCAGCTGCTACCATACATTCCTACAATCTCCGAACTAAGAGCCTTGGACGGGCACTCTCGGGGTCGGCTGCTAACACAATGCCAGGTCGTGATACACACACGCCAGCTCGCGCACCGTCCTAGAAAACGACACATTCACACCTCAGTCAGCACCGATAGCGAAAGTTCCTCGCATGCGGTTTCATCAGTTCGCTAGCTCACGCGGACCATGGAAAACAACATCCCGTCTGACTGGGTCGACCGCCATGATCCTTGCCCTGCCACATCAACGACTCTTTCCAAGATTGATCATCTCAGTCAGCCTCGTCAGCCGTGCAGACTCCCCAGCTTCTCCCGCCTCGCCACCACACCCAATCCGTGGTGAATTTTGAAGAAAAAAAAAAGTCGGTGAATCAATGCTAGCTTTTCTCTTAAACATTTCTTATCCTGTGTTCAATTCTTAATATCGAGTTATTAAATTGTGCAGTGACATTATTTTTTGTATTCTGTGTTCACTTATCTGTTATAGGTATTCATTTGCAGCTCATAGTTGTCTTACTAGGTTCGCTCGTGTATCTAGGCGCCTCCGCCGGGTTCGTACCTTACCGCCGCCTGAGGACGCACTCCCCTCAGCGCCGCCCGCGCATTCTGTGCGCCGCCTGAAGATGGGATTCCTTCAGCGCCGCCCGCTCGCTGCAGTTATAAAGCCCGAAAATGTCGCACTCTCGGCTTCCGTTAGAAAATAACAAGCGAATCTACTTGATTACTGATACACTGCCACAGCTACCTGTGTCCTGTTTTTTTTACGTTGCTTACGGTTATTACACAATTTGTGCCACTGTTTCATATGTATTTTCTATTGCTTTTATATGAATTTAGACGATGTTTGATTATGATGGGGACCATCATTTAAAACCAGGGAGATATGTAACCCAGCTTTAATACTATATATTATTATATATATATATACTATATATGAGTATTACTTCGTTAGTATATACTATATATACTATATATAGCTGTATATTACTATAGATATATATAGTACTATATAACATTATATATACATATATACAATACATTATATTACTATATATATATTACGCGTATATATTTATACTATAATTCATAATTACTACTATAAGTACATATTAGTAATTAGGTGTATGGGAGGGGCGCGGACGACAGTGAGGGTGTCATGTGACGTTCAATGTAGCATGTGTACGAACCGGTGCATGAACAAGTGGACTGCGTACAGCGAATAGCATCAGCTCACTTGTGAGGAAGAGATAGGACGAACACAACATTCTAATGTTCTGTAGAGCGGCGTGGGCCAAGAATAGAGGAAATGAACAGGAGGGAGGTGCAAGTATAGGTAGGCCGGTAACGTGCAGGTATGTAGTGATGTGATTGCGGTGAAGAGAGTACGTATTACAAAGCGAAACTCGAGTGTAGAATATCAGTAGTAGTGTGGAGGATTCTCGCTCATTCAGCGCGACTATCACTAGCTCGGAGTTACCACTCGTGTGTGCGTGCTCTCCGTTGGTTCGCCTGTTCGTCTGTGTGTGCGCTGGCTGTCGTTATGTTGTACTCGCTGCTCTTGCTGTGTCCTGCGTGTCGTGGTGTCGTGCTTGTACTGTGTGGTACCATTGTCCGCTTGTGTGCTGTGTGTGTATGGTGGGAGTTTGAGTGGTGGTGGTGTGGGTTGTGTGTGGTGTGTTTCTCGCTCTCGCCCGGCCAGTGCTGTTCAGTGTTGGGCTGCTCAGGCTCGGTCTCTTTCGTGTGCATGTCGTGTCTGTGGGTGTGGTGTGTGCTATCGGTCTTTAGTGGTGGTGTTGCGGTCTGCGTCCGCCCGTCGCGCCGCTGATGTGGTCGTGTGAGGGTCTGTCGTTGGGTTGGTGTTGTGGTGTGTTTTTCGTCCCTGTGCTGCTCGTGTTGTGCGCTCGCTGGTGGCGCTGCTGTTGGAGTGTGTGTGTGCTGTGTTTTGCGTGGGTAGGTGCAGCGACGCAGTAAGACCATGGTGAGAGTGAGAGTGAGAAGAGAGAGAGATACACGCACATACGCATACACACAACACACACGTATACACGCACACCACACAAACGCAAATGCATACGCACACGCACGCGCGCGCGCACACACACACACACACACACACACACACGCAACGACAGACACAGAGAGAGAGAGAGAGAGAGAGAGAGAGAGAGAGAGAAGGAGGTGAGAGAACGAGAAAAAAAAAACAATGTACCGTTATTCATATTGCAATTCCCAGATTACCATCATTGCACTAACAACCTTTCTCCCTTAGAAATAACCCTACACCAAGAGGTCAGTCGCATGGGGTCACGAGTAGCGGTCCTGCAGGCGGCGAGGGCACAGAGCGACGGCGACGTGACCACCCTCACCCGCGCCCTCCACAACACTGCCTGGGATCGCGCCAACCTCGAGAAGGACAAGATGTCGCAGGTAAGATACAGGCTTTGTATCTTATCGAACAGTTTTGCGGCATATACCGATTACGGAAAATTGTGAATTTATGAAATTGTTCAATGATTTTAGGACTTGTTTGTGGAGCGCCTAACTGCTGCGCTGGAAAGGGAGAAGGTAACGCTGAAAACCTTGAGGGAAGCCATTCAGGAGGAGAAGGAAGTCACGAAGGCGCTCGACGCAAGAGCCAGACTGCAACAGGAAGAACTGGAGCAACTCGGTGAGGCAAAATTGATAATGTGTAAAGTATTTACTTATAGGATTCTAGTGTAAGCTTAAAAAATTGATAATGTGTAAGCTTTAAAAAATCTAATATTGTCAATGAATAAGGAAACAATAATGTTAACATTCCGACCAAATAACTGCAAACTTTGGGTTTTCTAATGATTAATAGGCTCCTATTACGAATAGGAATATTGTTTACTAAGATAGAGCGATAGAGAGAGAGAGGGGGGGAGGAAGGGAGAGAGAGAGAGAAAGAGAGAGAGGGAGAGCGAGAGAGAGAGCGAGATGGGGGTGGAGTGAGGGAGAGAGAAAGAAAGAAAGCAGATGAAAAAGAAAGAAAGAAAGGCACAAGCATTAATTTTACGCCCTCCCCATCCTCCATCAGAGTCCGAGGCCGTGGGCGTGAAGAGAGCCTGGGAGGCCAATGTCTTAGTGCTGCAAAAGCGCTCGGAAGACCACGCTGCTTCGTACCAGCACCTGGAGAAGCTCCTAGCCCAGCAGGCGGGTTTGAAGGCAGAGGTTGGTGCTTTAATTGCCAAGGATAGAATATATCTTTAATATGTTATTGCAGATTAAAAACTGGCGTAGAACGATTTTCATTCAATCAGTTTTACGAAGGAGACGTTTCAGAATAAAACTATTGACTAGAACAACTTTGAAGAATAAAACCTTTGACTGGAACAACTTTGCGGAAAAAAACTATTGTCATGTAATGCTTTAACTAACAACGTTTCCCTTACATGTTAGATACATCAAATTATGTCACATCTTTCAATTCAGAAAGACTCATTAGGACATGAAGAAGTGTAAGATGTATTTTCTGTTATACGTTAAAATGTATTTTTTGTGTGTTATTTATTAAAAAAAAAAAACTATTTCATTTAGGTCTACAATACAAGGAAGGTTGTGAGAGAAGAGCAGATGAGACATGAAAAGGATTCTGCAAGGTAAAATAACCATAATTATTATTTAACATTTCCTTAAAGGATAGTTTCATTTGTTCAATGGAGGAAAAAAATCGTTTCAGTACAACTCATAAAGTTTTTTATCTTTGTTATCTCCGTAGTAAAGTAAATTTTCCGAAATATTTGGATTGCTACAATTAATGCTTATACTCGTATTTAATCGTTTTTTTTTTACTGACTTTAGACTATTTCTTTTATATATATATATATATATATATATATAATATATATATATATATATATATATATATATATATATCACCTCTATTTTACCACTCTACTTATCATCTTATACGTTATACCACA